TTCATCTATGTGGAGGCCCAGATACTTAATCTGGGCCCCCACCCTAATGCGCTCGCCCTCTACACTAACGCTAGCTTCGGGCGGCGGTCCGGCCGAGCCGTCATGAAAAAAGACGGCCTCGGTCTTTTTGGCCGCCACCCTTAGCCCCAGTGCCCTGATCGCCCTCACGGCACAGGCCACCGCCAGGTTGCCCCTGGCGATGGCCTCCCCCCAATCCTCCCCGCCGGCCAGCACCAGCGTGTCGTCTGCGTAACACACGCACGTGCAGCCGGCGGGGAGCGCCGCGCGCAATACGCCATCGTACGCAACGTCCCACAGGAGTGGTCCAAGGACCGACCCCTGCGGGACGCCGCGGTCCGCCCTCCACGTTCTGGAGTCTCCCTCGCGGTCTACACAGACTATTGACCGGTCCCGGAGGTAGTCCCCGATTATCACGCGCAGATAACCGGGGACCTCCAACTTCTCCAGGCCGGTCACGATCTCTCGATGGGGGATGGAGTTGAAGGCGTTCGCCACGTCTAGGGCGACCGCCAGCACAACCCCTCCATCCCCCATCATCGCACTCGCCATCTCGCGCACGTGGACTATCGCGTCCACGGTAGAGCGCCCTTCCCTGAAGCCGAACTGCCTCTCAGACAGGCCGGGCCATGTGTTCTCGATGGCTCCCATCAATCGGGACGCCACTACGCGCTCGAGAAGTTTCCCGGCCTCGTCCAAGAGGCAGATCGGCCTGAAGCTCCCGGGTTCGTCCGGGGGCTTGCCCTCTTTGGGGAGGAGCACCAACCTGGCCTTCTTCCATGGCCCCGGGAAGACGCCCTCCGCCAGACACCGGGTGTACAACCCCTCCAGCCTGCCGGAGAGCTCCCCCAGGGCCGCCTTCAGCACTATGCCGGGGACCCCATCCGGACCCGGCGCTTTACCCCTCTTGAGCTTTTTAGCAGCTCGCGCCAGCTCCGTCCGGGTGACCCCCAGCTCCTCCCGCCATTGCTGATGCTCCCCCCCGCTTTCCATGCCTCGTGGAGGAGGACCGCCGTCATTCCCCGCCGGGAACAGAGTCTCGACCACCTCCTGGAGAAAGCGTGGGGATAGAGTCTCCACCGTCGGAGGCGCCCCCGAACTCAACCTGTTCATGACAAGTTTGTAGGGGCGCCCCCATGGATCCTCGTTGAGTGAGCTAATCAGCTCCTCCCACGCCCTCTCCTTGGCCGTCCTAATCGCATCCCGTAGCGCCTTTCTCCTTTGGCGGTACTCCTCCACGAGGTTCGCCTCCTCCTCCGGGAGGGTTCTCCTCCTCCTTCTCGCCCGCAGGACGGCTCTCCTGGCGGCCACCGAGGACTTCCGGAGCTCCTCTATCTCCCCCGACCACCAGTAGGCCACCCTGCGAGCGACGAGTTTCGCACGCGGCATGGCAGCGTCGCACGCCTTCATCAGCGTCCGCTGCAGCCACTGGGCTTCCTCATCAACCGTGGGCGCAGGGTTCGGCTGCGCCCACAGCTCCGCTATTAGGGACTCCTTCAGCTTGTCCGGATCAAGCTTCTCCGTCCTCCATCTAACAACCTTCTCCTGGGGTCCACTCCTCCTGTCCTCCCAGGAGAAGTCTATGCGGATGGGGAGATGGTCAGAGAGCAGCTCTAGGCCCTCCACCACCTCCCATCCACATATCCTCCTCGCGGCCGCAGGGGAAGTCCACGTCAGATCGACGATTGACTCCCCCTGCGGCCTTACACATGTGCTTATGTCGCCCACGTTCTCTAGGTGGAGGCCCAGGCGCGCCGCCCAGGCCTCCACGTCCGCGCCCTTAGCATCCGGCCGCCGGGAACCCCAAAGCGCCGACTTGGCGTTGAAGTCCCCGGCGACCAGAATTGGCCCGGGGAGATACTCCCGGACCAAGTCCTCGAGTTCTTCCAACCTCCCCTCCGCTTCGGCACGAGAAAGGCTGGGCCTCAGGTAGACCCCTATTACCACCAGGGGCCCCCATTTGACCGCCACCCAGCCTTCCCCGGCCTTAAGTTTCGCGAGGAAGGGGGCGCGCTCGCCCGTCCTCCTCCAGACAATCGCCGCCGAGCCGTCCGCGCTCCCCGCCCAGAGGGGGCTCTTGGGGACGCGGTACGGCTCGGCGACGATGCCCAGTCCGCAACCACGCTCTGCCAGGCTATGTAGGAACAAATCCTGAGCCCGGCAGGCGTGGTTTAGATTCGCCTGGAGCGCTTTCAGCGCCGTGAAGGCGGAGCCGCAGCAGCCTCCTCCTGGCCTTCTCCTGCTCTGGATGCCCCTGCCGGGGTGACTCCTTGGATGTCCAACAGGGGCTCGGTTTCCATGGGAGTGCCTTTGGTCGCCTCCTTGACCGCCTGTCTTCCTTCCCTCGGTTCCACGGTCTCCGTCCGCCTGCCTTTCTTCGCCGTCTTCTTAGTCGGCAGGGGACAGGCTGCTCCTCCCGCCTTGTGTTGCGCAGGGAGGCCCCGGGCACTGCAGACCGGACACTTGACCTCCGCCGTGCAGGTCTGTGCCTTGTGGCCCTCCCCTCCGCATCTGTAGCACATGGTGCTCCGATTTACTGGGTTGCGACATTGCCCCTGCACGTGCCCCCTCTCTAGGCACCGGAAGCACACCAGTGGGCGGGCGTCGAGCAGATCCACTCTTAGTGACACCCACCCGACCCTGATGCGCTTCCCGACCGTTATTTTGTTGGCCGCCGCAACTGGGCACTGGGCCCACACCGTGGCCAGGCCGCTGGGACTCCTCCTGGGCTGACCCGTCTTGACGTCCTCTCGGCTGCACTCTCCTACTTGGGCCAAGGCCTGAACGAGTTCGTCTTTAGTAATGGACTCGTCCACGTCTTTGATGCGGATCTCCGCCATCTTTTTCGGTCGAGAGATCCGCACCCCCTCCTTGCCGGCCACTGCCCCGCGCATTTCATTGGCCAGGGCATCGGCCTTCTTCGCACTCTCAGGCCCTGACACCTCGAAGATCAGGGCCCCGGTTAATCCTCTCCTCTGCTTTAGGGGACCAATGCCAAGCGTCTCCAAATTGATCTTGGCCCTGATCTCCCTCATGCCCTGAGCTCCCTCGCCCGCAGGGAACGTGATGGACACCGCCTCTGATCTTGGGGCCCTCCTTCTCTTCTTCGTTGCCTTGGCCCCCTGGGCGGTGCTTACCCTGGTCTCCTCCACAGCCTTCTGTATTCTCTTGGCCTCCGGCTTACCTCCTTCTCCAGCCGGGATTTGCAGGCTTGCCTTTCCAGCCTTAGCAGGTTGACTGCTCGGCTGCTTGGCCCTCGCAACGTCCGCGTAGCGCAGTTTCTCCTCTCCTCTGCTGGCATTTGACGAAGCCTCCGTGTTCGCTGGCCTCGCTCCCGGCTTCCTCTTGCCCCCCCTCTTCACCACCTCCACCCACGAGTTGGTCGGTGTTGCGGAGGGGGTCTGTTTTTTGGGCGCTCTCTCCTTCGCACAGATTTGTGCCGCCGTCTCCTTGGCTTGGATCCTAACTCTGTCCTTAACGGCCACCACCTTGGTGATCCTTGGCCCTCCTCCAGCCTGATCTCCGCTCCTCTGCTCTTGTTCTCGCGGGATCCGGGCCAGCGCGCCCTGACACCTAATGACGAGGTTCTCCAATTTCTCCCTCGTCTCCTGCGGGCCTCCGTTAACCACCTCTTTGATGGAGACCCCCTCGAAGACTTTCCTGACGTCTTCCATGGCCGTCTCCATCGGGGGGTCTTCCATCCTTTTCCTCTCTCCCCTGACTTCCGGCCGGTACACCAGGGCCTCCTCCACCCGGGCCGACACCGTCTTCCTCTTCTTCTTGTCCGCCTTTGCAGCAGCCGTCTTGGAGCGCGTCCGCTTCTCCTCTTCCACGCTTTTTGTGGGGCTACGAGTTTGGGCTGTGGGGGCGTGGATCACTGGCGTCTCCGCTATCTCCACCTCATGCACCGCACCTTCCGCTCGCGCTCTCGCCTCTCTCTCCTCCTGCAGCAGCAGGGTAATTCTCCCTAGCTGCTCCAGGCTGCTCACTTTCTCCTTAAGCCTCCTGATTTCCGCCTCTGCTGCCCCATCGCCGCTGCCCGCCGTCTTCGTGGCAACTACCGTGGCGGCTGCTCGTAGGATCTTCGCCGAGTTCTTCAGCTCCTTGACGTATGTCCCTTTGAGGTTTTTTGACCTCTCGTAGACCTTCGTCACCACGTCCACGCTCTCAATCATCTCCGCCGCGATCTGCCCCCCGTCGAGGACCTCCATTCGGCGGACGATGTCCCTTTCCGGAGTCGTGCTCTTTGGTTCGACCCTGGGGTCCAGCACCTCCGTCAGGGCCCTCTTCTCCGCTTTTAGCTTTTGGAGCTCTCGGCGGCACTGGTCCCTCCTCCTCTTCTTTATACCGGCGTAGGTTGTCGGTGGCCTTCCCCTTCTCTTCCGTTTCCCGGTCACTTGGTCCACTGAGGAGGTCGACGTCGTCTCGTCGCTGTCCGCGGTGTCTCCGTCCTCCACCACCTCGACCATATGTTCCGTGTCGGAGCCATCCGATTCCGGAAGCGGAACATCCCTTCCCATCTTCGAGGACAGCGGCCCTGGTCTTGTGCCGCGTGACCTTCCAGCCAGCACGCTGGCTTCCGCTCCTTGAGTTTCCTCTTGGGACTTTCCTACCACCCTCCCTGTCCCCTTGGTTCCACTCATCTTACCATCCTCTACGCATCGTGTTTGGTGTTTATTGTTCTTCATAATGGCAGGTATTATTTACTCCGGTTCGCCCATCATGGGACCCCCACCGCAGTGGGGGTACTATCCCCGGTTGAGTAAGTCCCTAATTATGGGCCGGGAAGCGGAGAGGCCGCTTGTCGGGGAGCCACCCCTATCCCGACCAGTGACTCTACTAAAAATGTTTCCTGGAGACGGCCAGGCCCACCATTATGCTAAAGTTTTACCCTCACCCCAGGGACGGGACGCGTGCCGATCCGACGGTCGCTCACCCCGCCCCCGGGCTAGAGCTTGCCAAGGTAAGCTCCCCCTCAGCTGGGTATGGGAGGTCGGCGGCTAACCGGCCCCCCCACACCCGCGCCCGGACTGCCGGTTTCAACTCCCTGCTAGGCTCCAGCCAGACGAGACGGGAGCGGTTTTCCCACATTGAACATGCCACTTCCTGCGGACTTTGCCAGCAAGCTGGGCTTACGGTCCCGCGTAGTCCATGGCAGAGGTCAGGTACAGACATCACCGCTCGTCCCCGGTCGGGGGGTTTACTACTCCCCCCTTGGTTAGTCTCAGGGAAATATCCACCGGCAGCCGGCCGCGGCCCATACATACACACCAAACACACTATCCGGTCCTCCGCCCTCCACGACCAGCCCCGTACGCCAGGCCGCACGCCCCAGCAGCGGGACGTCGGCCCCAGACGCAGGGACCGGCCGCTTCGTCACGGAGGACCGGGTGTTGGCCGGCAGGCTTGCCGACCAACGCCTCCGGACCACCGAGCCCTGCCTGGGAATAAGTCCCAGCGGCCCCGGCGGCCCCCAGGCGATCGGGCCCCGCCTCGGAAACGTCCGAGCGGCCCCGACCCCCGTCCATGCCGGGCCATCCGGGCGACGCGGGTCACAGACCCGACGTGTACCCGGGGCCCCGCCCCCTCCCGGAAGGGCCGGATTACATCCGACCCAACCGCGAGGGAACCCTCCCTTTTCCCACCTACCCCCACTTCCTCTCCCCCCCCTTATGCCAGACCGCACG